CGAAGATGATATCGGAGACGGTTAGGGTTTAACGAGGTCGACGAAGATGATTTAAGATATCGGAAACACTAACTGAGAAACGAGAGTATTAGTTGTGACGGAGATGATTTCGGGATTTCGTAATCGGTTAGGGTTTAACGATAGTTGTGACGGAGAAGAATGTAACATTAAGACTTTTTTTTTGTTCACCGGAGATATGAGACTGTTGATTTTCCAGTGTAACTGATGACACAAATTAGTTAGTGACGTGGATTGTCAAATTATGATGTGGATTTAATAATTAAAATTTGTATCAATAGTAACAAAATTAAACAAGGGTGTTTATTGTAATTTACTAGGAGTCTAAAAACATTCTAGTAATTTTTAGAAAATATATACTATTCTAGTCATATACAATCTTTTGTGTATCATTCTAGTAATTTCCTCTTAAAAATATAAAAAGTTTATGACGATCTCTAGTCTTCTTTTCCGTTTCTGATTTTTGTTTTCTTTCTCTAGCTTCACAGATGGTTCATCTCATTTTATTAATAGTTTTATTGATATAAAAATTAAATCATCAGCTCAAACAAATTTATAGGCTCTTCATGTCATATAAAATATAAAGAACATACACGTTGAATGATAATCAGTGTTTCTAAGTCTTGTTGAAACACATCAATCATATTCAAAGTGAAACAAATTAAGCACATATGTGAATATATATTTAGAACTTGCTTGGTAGATAATGAATCTTATGAAGAATGAATATTTTGTGAAGAATGCAAAATAATGTGTTTTGTTTAAGAAAAAAAAATCTATATAAATTTCATGATAAAATCATAACAAATAATAATTTGTTATTTATAATATTTTTTGTTTTTGTAAAATTTTAAATGGGTAAATAACATATTTATTTCAATACATAAATTTATCTTAAACATAAATAATTATATCTTAACTATTGAAATATCTAACCTGGGTAAAAAAGACAATTCACATTTAAGAAAGTGTATTTTTCAAAAAATAAAATAGAAGGTGTAATTTTGAAATTTCAAACTGTTAGTGGAGTAATTTACAAATTATCCCTATATTTTATTCTATAATTAAAAAAATATATTAATAATATTATTCTTATATGATATATTAGATACTTGATTATAAATTAATATGATAGCATTGTCCAAATACAAAATGAATAAAATAATTCTTATATATATTGTATTGTTATCTGAAACTAATATTTTATATTATAAAATTTTACAGTTAAGATAGAAAACAAATTAAAGTTATTTATTAATTTCAGAAGACTAATACAGTAAAATCTCTATAAATTAGTAATACTGGGAATATGATAGTTTATTAATTTATTAATTTACAAAAATAAATCAGATGTTCTATTTTAAGGTATATTATTATCCAAAATAAGAAAATATTTTATTTTGTGTATTTACATTATTTTTTTGAAAATATTAATATTAGGTTTTTTGTATTATTTGGTTTATATAAAATATGTTTTCTAGGATCTAAATATGGTTTAAGATCAAATTTTACTAAATCTTATCAAAAATATATTAAGCGTTAAATGAAATATAATCCATTGTAAATATAAAATAACAATATGATGGTTGGTCTATACTTATATATATATATATATATATATATATATATATATATATATCTAATTTTCAATTATAGTTATAATAGAATCATATATTTATATATAATTTTTTAGAAATTTCTTATCTTATTATTTTATCGACTTGTGTCATATTTTAAACCGGTCTAACTTAGGTTTATCGACTTGTGTCATATTTTATCATCTTATTATTTTATTGACTTGAGTCATAATTTATGGTGTTTATTAATTTATCGATTATTAATTTATAGAATTCCTACTGTGTTATATTGTACTCTCTTCGTTTCATATTAAATATTGTTGTAGAGATTTTTTTTGTTATAAATAAAGTAATTATGATTGAAAATTGTGACTTTAAATAAATAGTTTATTAGTTTTATATTATAATTTATTTTTCCATTGGTTGAAATATGATTATGTGTATAAGTAATTATGTTTTTATATAGAAAATATACAAAATTAATTATTTTCTCAATCCATATGTATAAAGTTAAAGTGACACTAAATAAGAAACTGAGGGAGATAAAGTTATAAACTAAGCCACTTGACCTTTGGCATAAGATTATTTATTCACTGAAAAACTTCAGTTAAGATATCAACAAACAAACAACTTCATACATCATACTGATTTTGTAATCATTATTCTGAAGAAAGAACGTAATATAAAGCAATTCCAATTACATAAGACATTTCTTATTTTATTAGAACCTATTCTGTAAATCCCTGACGAGATTAGCATCCATCTGGAATGCCCTTGCAAGAACATTCGGGTCTATAGCTGGGTTAGACCCAAACACTGTGTTAGCAATCGTGATAACACCTGCGTTTTGGCTGCTCAATGCAGCGATTGCAACCGCTGGAGTTCGTCCTAGGTTGAACTGGAAATGGATGAGTCCTTCTGGAAACACAAAGACATCGCCAACATTGAGCGTTTTGGCGAAAAGACGGTTTCCGTCTTCGTTGGAAGAGACAAAACCTACAAGCAAGGTTCCTTGTTGGACAATCAAGATCTCAGTCGCACGTGGGTGAGTGTGAGGTGGGTTCTGACCATTGGGTGCATAGTCTATACGAACAAGTGAGATTCCAAGGGTGTTCAGTCCTCCAAGGTTGTTAACATTGACGGTTGTCACATTGGACCCAACAGCGTTATTTACATTTCCAGGTCTATTGAGTACTGAGGAAAAGAAGTCATCTGCGGAAACGATCCTTGCATCCTTGCAGAACTTTCCATTCACAAACACTGAAAATGGTTTAAAAATATAAGGAATGCGAATATTTAGCATAAAAATATTTTTAGAAAGTTCAGAAATCATGCATACCTCCACTTGCTGGTGTATTGACGCCAACGCAGAAATCTTGAAGGGGGCTTGGATCAGAAGCAATGGCTAATGGAAATGTCAAAGCCAAGAGAGATAGAAATGCAATATAGGAGAGACTCTTCATTGCTAAGTGTTTGTGTATTTAGTATATTCTGAAGAAAATAAGGATTATTGTTAATATCTTGGTTTAAGTTCCCAGAAGATGTGAAAAACTTGTGAGAAAAGGAGTTCAATTTATAGAAGATTTTGGATGTTGAACAAGTCCAATGTATATATCTGCTACATTGATTCCTTAATCTAAAGAACCCCAATTGTATAGCTTTAATCATATTATAAGATTTGAATTGGTAAAACTTATTCAATCGTGTTCTCTGAAAGTCGTATTATGTTGGTTGCCATTTAAATTATTATATTGTTACCATGTTAAATTGTAGCTTTGGTTATCTAGAAGTTTGAAATGGTAAAATGTTGATTACACAGGCATCATTAAAGTTGTATTATGTTGGGAGTTATTTAAAATATTTTGTTGCTACCATGTTTATATTAGTAATATCTTGAATGCACAAAACAAAGAAAGTTATATTTTTAATTGGAAAGATAATGTACTTGAAGTTTAAAATGCCCGCTGTTCAAAAAAAGGAAGTTTAAAACTACAGTTACTATAATAACTCATTTACAAGCGACCGCAAAGGTCTATTTGATAATAGGATTGTTCACAATTATACGTGACTATTTTAATAATCTTTCAAATTGCATGGGTTTGTAGAGCTGACTTGAAAAATGTCATATGTGAGCTTGGTGATTTGTTTGTTGTTTTGGTTTTATTGTTTTATTAAGCAACAAGGGACCATAAAACCATCTCCATAATGAGTTCTTTTACATTTTTTTTGTTTTTTTTGTTTTGTTAAAGGGCTTTTTTAATTTTGTTGTTTTCGGTAATTAATCTATTTAAGATGTTATACTTTTATTTTATTACAATATTTTCTTTTTTCAAATGATCCTGTGTTTGAAATGGATAAAGTCCAACGTGAATCCAAACAAAGCCTAGCAAAGAGCAATAAACTTTACATAAGAGTGTTTTTTAAAGAGCTTGTTTACGGGAGAGACATAAACTGTGGAGAAATAAATCCTACTTAGCGATGGATTGGTTCTGCTGCTGCTGGTAGTTGAGAGTCCTCCTGAAGAGCATGATGTGTGGCTCAGGACGATTAATGGGATAATGGTTCTGAGGGAGAAGCTTGGCAACCTCGGGAGGAAGTATGACGTGCCTGTACTCAAAAGTATCATCGAAGTATTTGTCCGAGTACTGGATCTAACCCATCTCTCACAAAGCAATCTGAAACCCTATCAAGCTTGAAGAAAATGATCAACTTAAAAGGGGTAAAACCACCTGGATTCGAGTTCCTAGCACTGGAAAATCAATATTTTGGCATCCCTAGAGATAGAAGACCGACACGTGGATAACACGTTGCTAATCTGAATCTACTTTAGTAAGTGCCAGAATATCTTGTATAATTCAAAAAAAAAAACGCCCAACCTTCTTGATAAACAGTGCAATTGGATACTTTTGAGAAAGGGGAGAAAGGAACAAATAATAATACAAATACTTTTATTTAAAAAATATTAAAACCAACCCATTTATTTTATTTTTATTTTAAAAAAACTTGTATACAATTTGTGTTTCGGTAAAATGTTACAGAAATAACAATGCGTCTCAGCGGATGTGAACCACTTTTTTTTTGGTTTAAATGTTTTTTTTTTTTTTTGACAACTAAAAGCTGATATATTACTCAAGCTTGAGGTAGTCTGGGAATACAGACCAGAATAGAACAACCAACATACAAAAGATCACGATAAAAGGATCGGGCTGTCTTAGCTAAGTGATCAGACACCGCATTTAGAGCTCTGGGAACATAATAAATCTTGAAATCTGGAAAACAAATCTTCAGCGTCGTGATCCTCTCCAGTTCCGTCGAAAAACTCGGCCATTTGCAGGGGTCCGTGAGCATTGCTATTAATTCCTTGCAGTCCGTCCCAAAACTCTGACATGGCGAATGTTGAAGCATACTCTCCATTGCCCACCGCAGTGCTTCCAGCTCAGAATGCAAAGCCGACTCCACTCTACTCACATTACGCAACCCCATCAGCTGACTATTTCCCGTATTATCCTTCCAATCCCATCCACAACCGGAGAACTGATCAACATTGGTCCAAGAACCATCAATCATGCAAATATCACGTAGGCTTAAGGCATGACGTGCAGAATCGTCGATCACTGGTATATCCACCTCAACCTGCTCATTAGCTTGCCACCAGGCCAGACACTCACTCTCTGCATATCGCGCCAGCTCCAGAGGGTCCCTATCTATTCCTCTGAACAATTTGTCATTCCTCGCCTTCCAAATGTACCAAATTATCTACGGATAAGGATCCCTTTCAATTTCTGGCCCACAATTGACATTCTTCCTCCAGAACAGATAGTACATATTTGCATATGTGCTCTCCAAAGGGAAAGTAGTAATGCTTGTAGGTATAGATGCTAAGGCCCATACCTGTAGAGCAGGTGGGCATTAAAAAATTGCATGTGCAATTGTTCATCTTGTTCACCACATCGCGGGCAGAAATTATCGCATCTTATATGTCTGTGATTCAGCGCACTCGTCACAACCAACTGCCCCGAGATAATTTGCCACATAAGGTGACACATCTTCGGGGGTGTTTTGACCTTCCATACATGTGCTTGAAGCCTTTTAATGCTGGGTTCATCGACCAAATCCTCATCTTCCTTCATTAGTATGTTCCGAGCTACCCAGTATCCAGACTTGACTGTGTACTGCCCATTCCTTGTATAGCTCCAGCAGAGAGTGTCTCGACGGTGGGTTGAACTAATGGCCATACTCCTAATGAGAGGTATATCCGCCGCGTCAACATAGTTAGCCAGCCGTTCCAGATCCCAAACCTTCCTTTCTTGATTAATCAGATCACTCACTCGCATATTCGGATGCATAACCGGAGCAGCTGCATTCGCCGGTCTCGCTGGGATCGTAGGAATCCAATGGTCCTCCCATACCTTAACTTCATAGCCTGAATGAATTTTCTGTCTAGCCCCCAACAGCAATAATTCGCGTGCAGCCGAGATGCTTGTCCACACATACGATGGGTTGTTAACGCTAAGCTTTCGCAAAGGCGAACTTAGCCTATAGTACCGTCCCCTCATAACACGAGCCACCAATGAATCCGGGTTTTGGGCCAATCTCCACATCTGCTTTGCTAGGAGTGCTAAGTTAAACTCGTGGATCATCCTGAAACCAATTCCACCTTCCTCTTCGGATAGGCATAGCTTGTCCCATGTTGTCCAGTGCAAACCTCTCTTTGGTGGGTTAGAGCTCCACCAAAACTGTGCAATGGCACTAGCCAAGGCGTCACATATCTCCAGTGGAAGCAAAAAACAAGACATAACATAGGTTGGAAGAGCGAGCAAGATCGACTTGATCATTACTTCCTTTCCACCCTTAGACAGCCACCTACCCGTCCACCCATTCACTCTACCCCGAAGTTTGTCTTTTAAGAATGCAAACAGCTTGCATTTTGACCCACTGATATCCTCTGGTATCCCTAAGTAGGTGCCCATTCCTGCGTCATTTTGAATCCCAAGCGTATCTTTGATCTCATGCCTGATCTCTTGACCGATTCTCTTACCAAAGAGTAGAGAGGACTTGTCAAAATTAATGCACTGTCCAGAGGCTTGTCCATATTTCCTAACCACTTTCATTACTTCATCGCATTCACGGGGCTCTGCCTTACAAAAGAAAAGGCTATCATCAGCAAATAACAGGTGGGATACCGACGGACACGCACGGGTAATGCGCATCCCTGTTATCTTTCCCTGAGACTCTGCGTGATTAAGAAGGCTAACGAGCGCTTCCGTGCATAGAATAAAGATGAAAGGGGATAAAGGATCTCCCTGACGTAGACCTCTCTTCGGAACTATATTTCCCCTCGGTTGACCATTCATGAGTACCTTATATTTGACCGTCGTTATACAATGCATGATCTAGGTAATCCAGACTTCGGAAAATCCCATCTTCCTCATGGTGGCTCCAATGAAAGACCATTCCATGCGATCGTATGCCTTACTCATATCTGTTTTGATGGCCATCCTCTTATTTTGCCCACTTGGTTTTGTTCTTAAGGCATGGAACAATTTCTGAGCTATCATAATGTTATCCGATATCTGTCGCCCAGCAACAAAGGCTGACTGGGTTTCAGAAATATGATACGTTGGAGGCGTCTCTCTTTAATTTTTGGGTTGTGTTCTATCCATCGTAGCTGAACTCTTCCCATCGGACCCATCCACCGGATCCATGCTCTCCGTCTTTGACACCGTCTACTTCAAAAGTTTTCCTTCTCCCACTCTCGCTGCTCAGTCATTAACAACTTATAAATTATTTATAGGGGGTTACAAAACATTAACTAAATACGATTTATAAATATTTATAAAACTACTATAATTCTTTATAGATATTCATATAACTATTTACAGAAATTATATTTATATAAATATTTATAGACTAATAAATCATCTATAAGTGATAACAATTAGTTATAGTATAATAAATTATAAAGAATAATAAATTATACAGAAAATAAATTATTATAAGAGTTTATATTGTTCTAAAATATCTCCTATCCCTCTAATTAAGCAGAAACAATCATTGTATAAGAACTTTTTGAATTACGTCTATGATCATTGATCAATACAATTAAAACAGAAACACAAGGTGGACCTAATCTTAGTTTACCGTGTCATATTAGTGTACTACCAAATTGGATCTTTAATTCATATTAACTAGGCACCCTAGTATATCGTCCAACAATTTAATTATTCAGTTGCTTAATTCAACTTATTTATTCGTCGTTTAGTAACTTAATTATGTATCCTTGATTTTTATGAAGCGTTAGGGCTTGATCTATAGAAAAACCTAAACAAAATCGTTGGAGTCTGATTAATATAAGATGAGATTTTTATAGTTTATGTTATATATAATGTGGTACTCTTATACTTAGTACATAAATTACAAGTTATATTTCAGTACGAGTAAAATATGCATTCAGCTATTATCAATCAGATCCGTTTTTAGTGTATATTAAGTGACAATACGATTTGAACATGAAAA